ATACTTTTAAAGAAAAATGATGAAAGTTCCGATGACAGTTCCGACTCGAGCGATAGTGAAAATAAAGTCGAAGGCATATCTCTAAGTGATACGCAGAAAATATTTTTTCTATTAATAGTAGATAAATCACGTGGAAAACAAATTGGAGTTGAAAAAATTATTGATTACGTCGATCGCGTAATTCCTAATTAATATAACGTCTAATCTATACATTAAATAAATCAAAGTAAAATAATATGCCATTAATTTTGATGAAAGTATTCAACATAAATTAAAAGGGCGAAATAAAAGTCAGAAGTAAATTACATTTAAAATAATATAAAAATGTTAAGATGTTTACAATAGAAATATTACAAAAAATTGCTTAAAATTAAAAACATTATGCCCGTTACTTAAAATTAAAAACATGCTGCGCGTAACAATTGTTAAAATTAAAAACATGCTGCGCGTAACAATTGTTAAGCAATTTTTGTAATATTTCTATTGTAAATATGTTAACATTTTAATATTATTTTAAATGTAATTTACTTCTGACTCTTACTTCGCCCTTTTAATTTTTGTTGAATAATGCCATTAATTTTATCTTGGCTTACTTTCGCCATATCCTCTTCATTTAAAAATAAAATTAATACTTTATTTTTATCCTCTAATAAGACCGGGAAATCATGCAATTGCTGTAATCGCTGTTCCATCGCAAATCGCAAATATTCGTCCGTTCATTGTTGTATTGTCCGGTACTCGTTGCTCGTTCCGAATTACAAATCATGCGCATAGACCGCATGAACGCATCAGACGCATCAACTGCCTCAGGTCGAAAGAGAAGCAGTCAATGCGCTGAGTGGAGTGCTAAGAATTCAGTACGGTTAGTACAATCTGGGGAATTCAAGTACTCTCGAAGCGCTTTCGAAGCGCGCAATAGTTAATTCGGAACGACTTTCTATGCAGTCTACGCGCTTCATGCGTAACTCGGAACGCATCCATAGCCATGTTACATTCCTTCGGTGTAGTTTGTGACGCATGCGCAGGATCATTATAAATTTTAGGGTCCACTTTATACAAGCTTGTATTAAGTAAGTTAGCAGTCTAGTAGTATATATAGAAGTCTGTGGTCTGGACACGAGCGCGATTGTGGCAAAATGCTACGAGAGAGAAAGATATATATATATACACTATCTTCGTCTATTAATTCTAACCTTAATGTAATGTATATATTTGTATATTCTCTTTCATTTAAGTTAACAGCGTAAAAAATATTAAATCATCGATGTCGATGTATTAAATATTAAAAATAATAACATTAAATAAATATTTATATTAAAAATAGGTGGCTGCGCTGCTCCGTATTGTAATAATTCAGCTGTCAAAGGATATGCAATGAAAAGATTTCCTAAAAATCCTGAACAATGAGTTAAGGTACCTTTTCATGCGACGCTGAAACGCTCCTTTTATAACGTCAAGAAATATTGAACCTAACCTTTGTAATCTATAATAACGAGGAGACAGTAGATTTCTGCCGTGTACGTGTGTATTGTGGAATTTTAACATGTTTAATTATAAATATCACGCATGGATGACAGAATGCGTAAATTTAATTTTAAAAAATAAACGAGAAAAGAATGTAACTGTATAGCAGCTTTATCATTAATAATAGCATTAATTAAAAAAAAGAGACCATGCACTCGAAAACGTTACTAGATTGAACCTGTATTATATTTAAAAAAGAAATTTACATAGATTTTATAATAAGATATTCCTGTTTTATGACTTGAAAATTTACGATTCAGGAATTACTTTAGAATGTCATCAACTCAATTCGAAGAACTTTTAAGCATCATTGCGGTCCTCATATGGAAATTAATATAAACTTTCCAATTAAAACAGAAATAATTATTCCGAAAAGAATTAGTCCGCCAACGCTAGAAAGTTGGATAGAAACGAACTTTTTAGCGTCAACCATAGATAAAATTACATAGAGTGAACAAGAACAAAACGAGCGTTAAGCCCGGATCCTCATACGGACAACAGCGCTTTGACACCGGACGCTGATTGGTGAAAAACGGGTTATGGGGGTAAATTTTACCCTCGCCAACGGTACGAGGATCCGGGCTAAGCGTTTTAGCGTCAGCATGAAATGGCACTTTTAGACAACCTCTAGTAGAGAGAATCGCCAACTTGGTCACGTGACCAATTACGTGATTGGCTGGAGGAAATGAGCAGATTTGGGCATCTCGACACCAATGCATGACGTCAGAACACATGGCGGCCCCATCGTTCGCGATGAAATATTTCATATATGTAATACTACTATATGGCTAGTGCCTATAAGAGGGAGTGAGAGGAAGCGGTCCCAGAACCACGGTGCGGGAATATATATTTCCCTCTCTTTCTAAGAGTACTTTGAGTGTTGTGCGCATGCGTTGGATTGATTGCATCCGCCAATAGGAAAATAGAGTGCGATCAGTGAGATGACGCGAACAGGTTATGCTCGTTATGCTTATTAGATGTGTGCTGTTGTACACAGGCAAAAATGGTCAAGATATGTTATTTATGTGGCAAAAAGCCTAATGCGCCTAATGCGACTGAAAACATTAGTTTGCATAGGTATGAAATAGGTATTAGTTTGCACTGATTATCATGAAATTTCTGTAAGGGATTGCACTGTATTCTTATATACATAACGGCAATTTTGAAAAAGTTTATTTCATAAAATTAGGATTAATTTATTTATTCCGACAAAACTGACTCTGTTAACTGTAACAAGGTTATACCCTGAAGCGGAATCAATTACTTTTTCCTTCTTTGTTACACATATATGTATATTTATCCTTCTATTTATCATTGATGGAGGGGATGAATCCGACGCATGCGCACAACGTTCAAAGTACAGTGAGAAAGAGAGAGAAGTATATTCCCGCACCGTGGTTCTGGGACATGGACTTCTCTCTCATCTAGCCATATAGTAGTATTACATATATGAAAAAATGTTAACCGAGATGATTGCGGGTACCGACAAACAATTAACTTTTTTGTGAAGTTAGTTAATATTCGTTAAAAAAATAAAAATGTTGTAAAAGTTTATGTATACATTTCTATCCTATATGAATTTATAAGGTTATCGACGTTTGAATTGGAGCGGAAGTTGCCACAAACTACGGACCAATCAGAAATTATCTCTCTCGTGTCCAGACTCTGGTATAGGGTCTCTAGTTCCACCTCCACAACCGGAAGAAACGGGTTTCTCAGCGATAGAAGCGCCACGAATTTCTTGCCGCTGCGGAGCGTACAGTAAACTGCAGAGTCGATACTCCTTTCCATGGTGGAAAGAATATAAGGTGAGCTATTCCCGTGGATGCGCAGTAGCCTAAAAGTAGTGGGGAGCTGACAGCCAATCAGATCTAGTCCAAAGTGCAAAATTCAATATGGCGTAGAGTGCCAATAGTGTAATACGCCGCGATCTTTTAAAGTACTCTGAAAAGTAAAAATTTCAACTTCATTTTTTTCAAACATTTTACCATGCCACATTGTTTCGTACTAAATTGTAAAAATCGTACCGGTTATACATTTAGCAAAAATGTTAGGTATTATTCATTTCCTCGAAATTCTAAGTTACGGTCGAAATGGTTGACCGCGTGTTAAAAAGACGAAAATCATGAGATTACACATGGTAAATGAATCATACATTACATTTAAAAAACATAAATATTAAAAATAATAAGAAGAAACAGAGCTATGAGCCTAAAAATTCGTTGAATTATAATATAGATGGTAAATTAATTAAGTCATTGTGTTAAAAATATATAAAATTTAATATAAACATAAAAATATAAAAATATATAAATTTAATGAACAACAAACGTTTCGACCTTTGTTAGGTCATTATCAATGTTTAAAATGTCGCGAGAATCGTTAACGATATACGGATAATTATAACATAATAACGGATATTAAAAAACAAAATATTTACCATCTATATTATAATTCAACGAATTTTTAGGCTCATAGCTCTGTTTCTTCTTATTATTTTTAATTTTATTGAGCCTTATTATAATTATATATAAATATTAAAATATAATACATATCTTAGTAACTATTTTTTGTTACAATAATTTTTATAAATATTACTTTTAGAAAGAATATGTGAGATACATTTTTCATCAGATTGTTTCGAGCACAAAATGATGCAACTGATGCTGAACTGGATTTATTAGACAAATTCGAGACTATTGTCGCAGAACAAGATATAGAATCACAAGCTTTAATTTACGTGGCAGGATATGTGGCCCATCGATTTCAATATAAATATCCACAATTAGGCTATAAAACAAAAATGATATCTTCTAGTGATGATTGGTTATCGTGCATATCCCGAGAAAACTGTATTTATCCTACTGCTGAATTTTTGAAAACTGCAGAAGTGACAGATGCAGAATTCCACAAATTTCATGGCAATTTTTTTAATCTCGAAAGTAAAATCTTTGATAAATTGTCTACGATAGTTTGTACTAAATTACAAAATACGTTTCCTCCTGAAGTTATCGCGTGTCTAGTAAGAACGAGAACATATATTAGAATTAGAAATATAAATAAAAAGATTGCAATAAATAATAACCAAAAAAAGTTAAAACATATATGCAATATTGTTACTTAAAATTTATAACTTATTTATCTCTGTTTTACATGTTATCTTATGTCAAATTGTTTCTTTCTGTTCTGTACCGTTATTTTATGTAATATGATTTATTGTTTTTAATTGTCATAAATATTTTATAATTTATATAACTAATTTCCACTAAAAATATCATGTTTTTATTATCAATTACTCTCCTACATTTAAAATACGCGCCTCTCCGAATGGGCCAGAACTGATTGGTTGAATTTTAAGCAATCCCCTCCATGTCTCCACCATGCGCAATATCTCACCTTATATTCTTTCCACCATGCTCCTTTCTACTCCTTCCTAAACTCCGTGACTGTGGGCAGAGTGACTGTCGACTGAACTGAGTGCATAAGTGCAAGCAACACGCACATATCTTATTATATTGGGATTGTCGTACGTACGGTTAATTTGTCATTTTCGTGACAAGCATTTTCACTGTGTTTACTGGTTATTTAAATCTCTCGAGACGATATTCGCTGATACAAAATTGTGACAAAAATGGAGTGTTTAATTGGTATTCAGTGCAAAGATTTCGTGCTAGTTGCGGCAGATATGACAACTACACAGTCTATTATAGTTATGAAAAGTGGTATGGTTATCACGTTTTATATTATTATTACTACATTAAATTTTCGTTATTGATGATATGTACACATACATATATATGCACGCACATTACTCAAATACATATATTAACATATATGTATTGTATTGTATGTTGTATTGTAAAATTCATTTCCATTATATCATGTTATATACAGCAATGTGTATATAACTATGTATATCTACAATATTTTTAATTAAACTGTATGTAGTACTATTGTTATCAATAATTATTGTAATAATTAATCGGTAATGATTATAATTTACAGACGAACACAAAATCCATAAGATTTCTGACAAGCTTGTCATGGCAATATCTGGAGAATCAGGTGATACAACGCAGTTTTCCGAATATATTGGGAAAAATATTCAACTATACAAAATGCGAAATGGCTATGAATTATCTCCCAAAGCTGCAGCTTGTTTCACAAGGAGAAATCTAGCTGATTATCTTAGAAGCAGGACTCCATACTTTGTCAATATGCTATTGGCTGGATATGATGTTGATTCAGGAGCAGAATTATACTTTATTGATTATTTAGCATCCTGTGTAAAAGTTCCTTACGCGACTCATGGATATGGTGGGATGTTCTCCATGTCTGTTTTAGACAGATATCACAAATACGGTAAGATGAGTTTAGACATAAAACAGCAAACAATATAAAAATAAAAATATATTAATAGAAATATTTCTTACAGATTCTACTGAAGAAGAAGCATATGCCTTGTTGAAGAAATGCGTGCGAGAAATTCAGAAACGTTTAATTGTTAATTTACCAAATTTTAAAGTTCAAAAGATATCAAAGGATGGAATTAAAGATATGCAGCCAATTACAGCTGAAAACTTGGCTGTGGAAAGTGCTGCTGAAGCATAAAAAAATGTTTACTTAATATTTTCTGGTAGCAAAATATTTCTATTATTAAAATAAAAGATCTAATTATAATTTAATAATAAAATTATCAATGATTGTAATTGCTTACTTTTTATCAATTTTTAAAAATAAAATTGGTGCATCTTAATTTTTCTATTCTTATCACATACACGTGTATAATACTTTAAAACTTAAGATATGAGCAAGATGGAAAAATCTATTTTTTGTTAAAGATTTTAATATAAATAAAAGAAGTTTTGTTGAATAGGAGATTGTCAAAATTTTAAAATTTTGCGAAATATAACAATATTTTAATACTCGTAATTTTTGATAGTGGATGAAAAGTGATAAGTATTGTCGCTTATTTGTTACAACATAAATTATCGTTTTGAAGTTGCTTGCAGGGAACGAACAGAAATACGAATATAGAGATCCATATTTAAAATACATTTTTAGAGCTAAGTGCGTACTTTTATTTCTAAAATTCTATAAACTTCGAGAAGCAAATTTATAAACGTCATCGAAATAAAGGTTGCTTAGCTCTGTAATATTTATTTAAAATTATTCGCAAATTATAACCAGCGGTTTGACTCACATTACCTGTCATATTTGTTTTTAATTTATTCATTAATTCTATAACCTTGTTTATACCAAGTCCTTAATGTGCGTATTAACCAGTAACTTTCTATTAAATTAATTTAACTAGTAACTTAATTTCTCTCAGTGATGCATGTAAACATATATGTATATAATACACAATATGGTTATTTAATCCAGGGCTCGGCACGGGATGCAACTTTCGACCGGTTCGAAAATCTGCCGAAAGTTGCATCGCGTGCCGAGCCCTGATTTAATCTAATCATATAGATATACAATTAATAACTTAGTATCTGCTCATATAAATTAAAACTTTTTTTATAGATATACGTAATTATATATTGTACCAGCTTAGTATTTCTTTAAATTGAGTTACTGAAGTTAAATTACTAATTAGTATGCGTATCAAGTGTTTAGTGTAAACTAAGACTAATAATATAACTACACACTAAATACGCGCTAATATCGTTAACTAAGTGTGTTCTGAATACGCCCAAAGAAAATGAGAATGAATATATTTTATTTTTCTACAAACAGTTATTATATTTCCAAAATTACATTTCCACACAGTTTTAATAATTCGAAACATTCAAATCTATTTAAAAAAAAATTTATTATTTTTTTAGTTAAATCATTGTAACAAATGAGCAATAATATCCTACTTATATCATCAGAATTATAATTTACTTTTATTTCTTCACGAATCAAAAAGAAATGTGCAAGTTTAACAAATTTTTAATTTATATTATTATATAATACATTTTACATTTTTTCCAAATAGATATTTGTATTAATTTTAATCGTAAATATCTATTTCTTACAAATAAATAGTAGCATTTGTGTACTACAATGGTGTGTACGTTTTAATATTTCGTTATAATAATTTTAAATAAGAAATAACTTCTTATACTTTATATATAATTCGTTTAACGCATCGCAAGGAAACAAAATCATTTTTACATTCATAATTCATGATTATCACTCACACATGGTAAAAAAATATTCAGAAATCCTAGAATATTAGTAAAAACTTATGTGTAACTGGAACTGGAGTTGAAACTTATACCAAATTTAATTCTAGAATTGTATAACGCAACATACTACAAAACTTAGATAGACTTTTATAGCAGTTTATCGCGCATACTGCCTACGAAATATTGTATAAATCAACAATTGGAAGATTTCGTTTCTCTCTCTTTCTCTCTCTCTCTCGTGTCTCGTTCTTCTAAAACAATCAAATTCTGCTTTGTTGTTTAACAGTTTCCGAAATTTCTCATTTGAAATGCCATTATTGATACCATATATGAGTGATAAAAATTTCTTTTGCATGCATACGAAATAGCGTTCTTGGTTATCGTAGTCCTAAATCCTATATTAAAGTTTTCAGCATAGGATTTAGAACTTTTCAAATCGAAACAACATCAAGATGTTATCCGTGAACGCTCATTGTGAATCATGAATTTTTATTACATGGAAATATCTTGCAACGTATATATTTGCAAGATATAGTTACAAGCTATTGTATTTTACAATGCGTGATTGTACGTCTTGAGCATGAACTATGAACTATTACTCATATTCTTTTCCATACGCACGATGAATTCGAAAGATAATTACGGAATAATGTAAATTGTATATAGCGTGTTTTTTTATATTCAATCAGGATATTATTTATCCTTTTTCGTTTCTGCTTGCATCTGCTCAGATTGTTCTGCTGCGTTCGTAGGTGGTGATGGATGATCCTCATATCTGAAATATAAGTAAAGAAAGAATCTTTTACGTATGTTAAATATAAAGAAACAAATATAATGTATACCATGATAAGAAGATACTTACGAAAACAATGCCTTGAGGTCTCCTTTGACTAACGCCAAGAGCAATGGCGTGCCTATACACGCGGGTACTAAATACAATAGAGCAGGTTGTGCGTGATCAAACAAGTGCATAATCATCATGGTGGCGAGTAATCCCATAAAGTATGCAAAAAATGTCGAATAGAAGTAGACATTGGTTTTCCTGCTCAAGCTGTTGTCGAAACGCAAGAGCAATGCTATAAAAATACCAGGTAATACAATATCACCTAATCCCAATATGGCAAAATTATCAGCATTCAAGCCTTTTTCTAAGAGATCCTGGGGAAATACAAGTTTAATCGGCACTTCAAAAGACTTTGCGACTGTTACCATTACGTCTGTACCAAACACCCAAAAAGCATCATAAAACAGAAGACCACACAGTAAAATGCATCCAGTCACGACATTGTTAAGATGTAACAATTCGACTCCATTAATAGCAAACGCTATGCCAAACAGATTGTTAGCTATCCAGTGCTGAAAAAAATATATAACAAAGAGAGAGAGAGAGAGATATAAAAAGTTTCAATCTATATCGAAATCTGTACTTATTTTTTCATTATTTACTTTTTTCAGAAGATACCAAGCACCCACAAACGAGCAGCACACAAGACACACAATGTCATGAAGATTAAACTTGTAATTAATTATATGCTCCTCTTTATCATCCTTTCCTTCTGTGAATAAAATGTGATACTGCGTTTTTGGAATCGCAGCAGGTACTAACGATGAAATTAATGGGCTGAAATTTAAAACCTTAAAAATTCCTTTGATAAAGTTAAAGATGAATAAATGATCAAAATAAATAAAATAATAGAAAGTACTAAAGAGAGTCTATGATGTACTTATAATTATGCAAGAGCTTAAGTACCTTGTAAGATGACATAAAGCTAGAATACCAAGAAAGAAAAAATATCCAGCCAATATCAAGTTAACATACTCCTTTGCAAACACCTGCCAAAAATATTTTCAAGTAACATTTTGTCATACAAAAGTAACATTTATATATAAACATTCGATTACCTTATATAATATATACAAGCTAACTAATGTAACACTGGAGATAAGAGGAAACATGGCAGCTTCTCTACGAGACATTGTGTCAGGTTGCTCGCCGCTTGTTTTATACAATTGCTATAAAATAAAAGGTAAAATAGTGACATACACAAAAGAAACATACAAAAAAAATTGACAATATTTATATAAATGGTACATAATTTTGCAATTGTATGTAGTACTATTGTATTTCCAATAGCGCGCGCTCTATTCTGTTATGCTACGCAAATAATGATTTTATTGAACATTTGAATTTAATTTTATTTAATCTCAATTACATGAAATATTAATTCATATTTAAAAAAAGGGATAAATATCAAAAACTATCAAGCATTTTTTCTTACAAATAATCATAATACATTGTCTTGATTAAAACTTCATGTGAAAAGAATAGATTTTATTGTAATGTATGTTTCAAACATATGTCAAAATGCATAACTAACCTGCTGCTCCTTATGATGTTTGACCGCACGATAGCTACCAAAGAAAATTGGTAGAATGGCCATAATAATGAGGCTGCCATAAGCAATCGCCATTCCTTCGGGCGTCGATGCCATTCTACCTGTGGTTGCATTTTGGTATTTCGTTAGGTTTTCATTCGCTTGTGTCAAAATTTCGTTCACCGAGCTCGCCATCTTGGATATGTCGACACGACACACGACTACGCGTACGCTACAAAACGTCAAAACGACATGTCGACACAGCTTGACTGCACTTGGCGACCATGAGCGATTAGGGAAGGGTATGTACTTTTAAGCTTATATAAGAAATGGACGAATCACAGTCAATTATTCTCCTCCCACGACTATAAAGCCGTAGAGTCCTAGATATTAGAGAAGCGCAACCGGCTTAAGTCAGTATCGCAAAATTACTAAGAAAAGTATTAAAAATGGCGTCGTTTGCAGACGAAATATGAAATCCACCAATCGTCTATTAGTCAGCCATTTTTAATACCACTGAATGAATAGGTCTGTTCGCGTTGCATGAAATCCCCAAATAATTTTGCACTTAAAGTGAGATAGATGTATATTCGGCTTTAAAAAGAAAGAAAGCGAAGATGGTAAGTGCAAAAAGTGCAAGCAACGCGAACAGACCTAATGTCATGATTGGCTGACAGTCAGCTAATCAGGACGCGGAACATCGGTTGCGCTTCTCTGATATCTAGGGCTGCGTTCATAAAGTTTACTCTTTAACTCAGAGTTAACTAGAGTTAACTCTATAGCGTTCAGAAACTCGAATATGACCGGTAGTATGTTCAGAGATTCGACAGGATTAACTTTAGAGTTAACTTCATGAAGGAAGATATAAGGAGACTCCACTCGGTCTCGCCAGTCTACAAGACATGAACCCATTTTAGGTTTCGAGTTCCGTTTCCGATTCTCGACACTCGCAGCGCTCGTGAATTTAGTAGTGCTGCGCATAATGAGTGCGAGTAAGAGAAATGATCATTTCTCTTACTCGCACTCATCAGAATCGGAAGCTGAACTCGAAACCTAAAATGGGTCCACTTTTATTTTACGG